CAGGGAGGGAATTTTAGCATTGCAAGGACATGATAATGATCTGAAGGCAACTAGGGCTTGCCTATCCTGTTCCACTCTGCAGTCTTATCTAACTCTGGTATCTGATCAGGGGTCAAGAAGCTCTGGCACCATCCTGGGGCAATCTGGTTTCTTTAAGCAGCTGTGCCTATGAAGGGACCCAAGAAAAATGGTAAGAAAAAGCTTTTCCAGGTATTTCATCAGTACCCTTCCCCACCTCTCCACTTTCATCCTAGGAGGTCAGTTAGCTCCAAGATGTCAATGTTTAATCACTTCTGCCTGCACTGATTTCTCCCTCCTCGGAATGCAGAACAATTTTGGCCTCTGTCATCATTGGCAGGTAATGTCTCTTGATGGTTTTATTATTTAATCAGCTGATTTTGTCCTCAGAAAAAAGATCTGCTCTTTCGGGGTATCTTTAAGGTTTTTTGTTTTTTTTCTTCCCATACTATATATTTTTTTTAGTGACTAAAACTTCAAGAAAAAATAACAGCCCTAGAAAATCTAGCCATTAGTTTTAATCCTTCTGCACAGAAGCCTAAAATATGAAAAATACAAGTTGTGAAAGTTTGAGTGTCCAGTGGATTGGAATGTCTAAGAAAAAATAACTCACGTGCTCTGCCCAAAGTCTCAAGGTAATCCAGCTGAATCCCAGTTTAAGAAGTCTTTGTTATGGAGCCAAATGTGTTCATATTGAAAAAGATTCAGTCTAGAATCTATGAATGGGGACAGAGTCCCTGACCTCTGGGCAACATTTCAAAAAGCCTACTGGAAATCATAAATCGAACTCATAATAAAACTGCTCTGGGCTGGGCGCGGTGGCTCAAGCCTGTAATCCCAGCACTTTGGGAGGCCGAGGTGGGTGGATCACAAGGTCAAGAGATCGAGACCATCCTGGTCAACATGGTGAAACCCTGTCTCTACTAAAAATACAAAAAATTAGCTGGGCATGGTGGTGCGTGCCTGTAATCCCAGCTACTCAGGAGGCTGAGGCAGGAGAATTGCCTGAACCCAGGAGGCGGAGGTTGCGGTGAGCCGAGATCGCGCCATTGCACTCCAGCCTGGGAAACAAGAACGAAACTCTGTCTCACAAAAAAAAAAAAACTGCTCTGGCTAAAACATCACAGCTCTTTGCTTTTAGTGAGAATTACAGGAACTCAGTTCAATATTAACAACGGTTTGAAGCCAAAACCTCTTAATGTCAGTTACACTTCTTGTTCTTTTAAGCCTCAGTGGAGGTGAAAGAAAATTTTATTTTTTATCAGTTAAAAAAAAGAAACCAAATTACCATTTCACAAATAAAATATTTTATTTATTTATATTGAGACAAGTCTCACTCTGTTGCCCAGGTTGGGGTGCAGTGGTACAATCATGGCTCACTGTAGACTCAACCTCTCGGGGTTAAGCAATTCTCCCACCACAGCCCTCCCAAGCAGCTGGAACTACCACAGGCCACCATGCCCACCTAATTTTTATAGTTGTTGTAAAGATGGGGTTTCAGCATGTTGCCTAGGCTGGTCTCAAACTCCTGGGCTCAAGTGATCTGCCCATGTTGGCCTCCCAAAGTGCTGGGATTACAGGCGTGAGCCGCTATGCCAGGCCGAAATATTTTACAGTAAAATATTTTAAAGCAAGAATTAGAAAAATATTAGCATTAGAAAAAATAATGAAAATCTTTTGAGGTGTTAAGGGGGAGGAAGCTCCAAGAACTTAAAAACAAGTGATAGCATCTCAGTAACAGTCCATTTACTCAGCCCACACTGTGTGGTTTACCTAAGTGTTCACATTGAATCTCTACCACCAAATAAGGGTACATAATATACCCTGGCTTTACAGATGAGGAAACTGAGCTCCAAGAGTTCAGTCTGTCCAAGGCTGCCAAGCTGGTAAGTGATATGGCCAGGAGATTAACTTCAAAGCTCCACTGCCAGGGAGATAACACAACATTTCCTGTTTTCATTCCTTAACATTGGGAGCAAAGTGTAGTCCTGCAGGCTTCCTGTTGTTGGGCGTTTTCTGGTAAATCTTAAGGGGAATGACTCCAGGTGAAGGTTCAAGCCTACCAAAAAAATGAAGGTTAAAACACAGCTGGAATACATCTTGCAATTTTCTTTACTAGGTTAAACTGGGCTTGAATGATCTGACACATTTATGACTTGATCACCATGGCAAAACTAACAGAAAGTTGGCTCCTGGCATGGACCTCTAACAACAGAAAGAAAGGCAGGATCACATCACCATGAACTCGTTTGGAATTAGGTAAAGCAGATAGGCCAACGTCTGGATATCTATTTACTGAACATGATGACAATGACCCAGCCTAGCAACCATCAAAGCCCTTTGGCTCTCAGGGGTTGAGCAAACTGAAAGGGATTTTTTCAAAGGCAGATTACAGGGAAAAAGTGGCTAACACCTTTGGTGGACTATTTCATAACATGAGACTTGAGCTTCATTAAAAGGAAGTAACCAGATTGAAAGCAGGTAGATGTCTGCATGCAAAGTGCCTCGGTTCTCCGGAGTTAAAGCAGTTTAAAGTTGTCATTTTAGTTAATACTGAAATCCATCCGGTAACGAGCAAGTCAGCTACAGTGCTATTATAAGCACAAATCTTTTTTATTTGCAGAAAGGCATCAGTTATTTCAATGCTACAACGTGTAATTAAGAAGTGAATGTGTTATTTTGCTTACCCTTACATTATTGCATTACTGCAAGAATAAAAGTTCTGATTTTACCTAAGCTACAATTCAATGTTGAATACAACGAAGTCTACCTTGACCTAAGCTGCCTCTATTTCTGACATGGTCACAGCCTAGGGACCAAGCAGCAGGTCTGTCAAAGGCCTTGGAACCAGAGCAATTCCACCTTGTACAGATGCTGAGTAAAATGAGGCAGAGACCTGCCGGCTGCGTTCTAATTAGTCACAAGATGTTTAAAATTAAGGGAACAGATTAATCATGTGTACTAAAGAAACCCAGGACTTAACAGACCCAGGAAACGTTTTGATGTCCCACTATCTGTTAGTCCAAACTGCACTATTTCCTAAGCCCCCTGGGCCAATTTGCAGACCCAGGTCAAAGTGAAACATTCCAGGGAGGTTTGGGTCAGGAGAAACAGCCTGCCCAACTGCCTTTCTTACCATACACAGCTGGGCCAAGGCCCAGTGGAAAGAACGTCCCTATCAAACCCTGCTGGACAAAGGTCCAAGGAACATAACTATCACGTTCTGTGGGAACAAGGGCAAAACTGCCTGATCATAGTAAATTTTATCAACATACTGCAGGCAGCAAGCCATCCTGTCCATTCCTCTCCCGCCATACATACCCCAACGGGTAAGCAGCGGTGGGCTCTGCCGTTAAGCCGATCCCCCATCTCCACAGGTTTTTGCAACATATCTGTGTTGCTGTTGAGCTACCCTGCGGGTCACTCTCTTTTTTTTGGTCTCACTTTATTGACCAGCTGGTGTGCAATGGTGCCATCCTGGCTCACTGCAACCCCAGCCTCGCAGATTCAAGTGACTCTCCTGCCTCAGCCTCCCAAGTAGCTGAGACTGCAGACATGCCACCACACCCGGCTAATTTTTGTATTTTCAGTAGAGACAAGGTTTCACCACGTTGGTCAGGGTGGTCTTGAACTCCTGACCTCAGGTAATCCACCCACCTCGGCCTCCCAAAGTGCTGGGATGACAGGCAGGCGCCACCGCGCTGACCTGTGTGTCATTCTTTAACCCTTGCCTTCCCTTTAAAACCTAACAATATCTTAAGAACAAAAGCATTTGCTGGGCCCGGTGGCTCACGTCTGTAACCCCGGCACTGTGGGAGGCCGAGGCGGGTGGATCACCTGAGGTCAGGAGTTCGAGACCAGCCTAGCCAACGTGGTGAAACCCTGTCTCTACTGAAAATACAAAAATTAGCCGGGCGTGGTGGCGTGTGCCTGTAGTCCCAGCTACTCGGGAGGCTGAGGCGGGAGAACGGTTTGAACCGAGATCGCGCCACTACACTCCAGCCTGGGCGAGAAAGCAAAACTCTCCGCTATTAAAAAGAAAGAAAGAAAAGAAAGAAAAAAGGAAGGAAGGAAGGGGGAGAGAGAGAGAGAGAAAGAAGAGAGAGAGAGAGAGAGGAGAGAGGAAAGAGAGGAGAGAGGAGAGAGAGGAGAGGGAGGGAGAGAAGGGGGAGAGGGAGAGACAGAAGGAGGGGGAGAGAGGGAGAGAGGAGGAGAGAGAGGGAGAGAGAGGGAGGGAGAGGGAGGGAGAGGGAGGGAGGGGGGGAAGGGAGAGAGAGAGGGAGGGGGAGGGGGGAAGGAGAATGGGGAGGGAGAGAGAGAGGGAGGGGGAGGGAAGGCGGGAGGGAGAGAGAGGGAGCGAAGGCACAGCGAACAGCTGGGAACGGCAGGGCGTGGGCCGAGGCACCGCAGGCTGCCGGGGACGGGCGCTCGGAGGCTGCCCAGCCCACGGACTCCCCCGGCGCAGAAAGCGCAGGCCCGCTCCCCGCTCGGCGACGGACCGCTCAACACCAAGGGGTCTCGGGGGCTGAACAGACACAGGCGACGGCACGCGCCGCAGAAACCGATGCCGCCGTCTGCCCAAGGACGCGGGGTCCCCGCCGCCCCTCCCCGCGCCGAGACGCGGCCCCTCGGGGCCACCCCGGCCGCGTCCCCAGGAACCCCAGAGGGTCGCGGGCGGCCTCTCCCCAGCCCTAAAGCTCCCGCACGCGGACACCGCGAGCCGCGGCCGCGCCCCGCCGACTGACCTTCCCGGCCGGAGCTCCTCGCGCAGCGCCAGCCCCTCGGCGGCGACTCGCGCGCGAACGGCCCAGAAGACGCGCGGCCGGCCCCGCTGGAGCCGAGCGCCCGGGCCGCCGCCGAGGTCGGCGCATGCGCGCTGGCGCGAGACGGGCGCGCTCCGCCCCACGCCGGCCTCCAGGGAGATGGGCGCATGCGCCGCGCGAGGGGCCCGGCTGGCGGAGGGAGGGGCTGCGGCCGCGGCTCCGGCGCGCGTGCGCAGTAGCTCGACGCGGGCGTTTCTTTCCTCCCTCTTTTTCGAATTGCTTTTAGGGGTAGATTCGAGTTACAAAATGGCCGCCCGGAGCGCGTTCCGCGGCGTTCCCCCCGCGGCCTCGGGCTGAGCCGGCGCTGTCGCCTCCCTGCCGAACACAGCGTGAGCCCCTCCGGGGACATGGTGTTTGAGTCTCAGGGCTTGCGGAGCACCGAGTCCTCGGAGACCCGCAGTGCGGCACCGGAAGCGGCCGAGCGCGCCCGGCCCGGCTACCGCCAGCAGCCCCGAAACCCAGCGCCGCCGCTCCCCGGCTTTCGCCGCGCCCAGGACCCGGCTAGTGCTGCGGCTGCCGCCGGGCAGGTGAGGGGGCGGCCGAGGGCGGGAGCCCGGCGCTGAGAGCCGGGAGGGAGGGCGGGAGGGAGGGCGGGAGCGGGCTCGGGCCTGCGGCGGGGGGTGCGAGTGCGGGGCTGGGGGCCGGACGCTGCGGAGGGGGATGCGGGTTCAGGGCCGGGGGCGGGACCCTGGGGGGAGACGCGGAGCCGGGGAACGGGACCTCGTGGAGGGGGTGCGGGTTCAGGGCCGGGGGCGGGACCCTGGGGGGAGACGCGGAGCCGGGGAACGGGACCTCGTGGAGGGGGTGCGGGTTCAAAGCCGGGGGCGGGACCCTGGGGGGAGACGCGGAGCCGGGGAACGGGACCTCGTGGAGGGGGTGCGGGTTCAGGGCCGAGATCCTAGGGAGGAGGGTGCGGAGCCAGGGGACTGGACCCCGGGAGGGGCTTGCGGGGCTGGAGAACGGGCCCCTGGGGAGCTGGGTGCAGGGCTAGGGGCGGGGACCCCAGGGAGGGAGCCGTGGGTCGGGCGCGCGGGTGGGGGCGGCGGCGGGTGGAGGGTGGGGTGGGATGGCGGCGGCGCGCGGCCCGGGCTGTCCGTGAAACGGGGCTCGGGCCTCCCCGGGCGGAGGCGTCGGACTCGAGGGAGGCTCGCCCGTGCGGCCCCGGCGGAGGTAAGGGGCTGGCGGGGCTGTCCCGGCCGTGCGATTCCTCTCGATTCTTCTCTCTCCCTGGCCGCCCCTCGTCTCTCTCCTCCTGGCCCCGTTGCGTCTCTGGCCTGGCTTCACTTTCTTACTGCGTTCCCGGGTCATCGATCCCCCCTTTTGCTCCGTTGCATTAAGAAACAGTTCGGAGATGTGGCATTTCTGGCTCCTTAGTCGGTCCCTGCGTTCTCTCCCTCCCGCAAGGCACCTCACTATTAAGTGTAGCCGAATCTGTGTTTTCGTTTTAAGCTGATGTTGACAAGTTCAGCTCCAAGGGCAGAGCGGCCCCGGAGGCCAGAGACCGCATAACTACATCAGGCCCAAATAATGTTTCTTCCAGTGGTTTACCTGGTCTCCTACCACGGTGCTCCATGCCTAGCAATCATGTCAGATTTGGCGGGGTTTTTTTTCCCCCAACAAACACAGACGTTTTTTAAATTTCCTTTTATTGGTTGGCTGAGATTCCGGTCAGCATGCCGGAGTGTGCGGTGGCTCGCTGTAGCCTCAAACTCCAGGGCTCAGGTGCTTCTCCTGCCTCAGTCTTCCAAGTAGCTGGGACCACACGTGTGGGCCCCTTTGCCCGGCTACGTTTTTCTTTGTATTTATTCATCTAATCTATGTCTCTTTATTTATTCATCTAATCTATGTCTCTTTATTTTTGTAGAGACCAAGTAAGTTTCCAACTCCTGGCTTTCAGTGATCCTTCTGCCTTCCTTAAATTTTTTATAATAGGAGCTAGATGTAAGACTCCAGGTGACAGCCTTGTTCTGAGTAGTTTACAGAGTGTTTTTTTTTTTTTTTTAATTTTCCGCTTCTACCATTAAAAGGAAAATAGATTGTCTGACGTGTCATGCTTTGAAATAAATAGGGATTTGGTAAAATGTTTTTAGAAGTCTGGTTTGTAATCCCAAGTTATTCTTCCATGCTGCAGTGCTACAACTTTCAAGTTTTGGAGGGAAAATGGTAGTTAATAGCCTTTGCTTCTAATCAAACTTGTTTTTTAAATAATTCATTAAGCCCTTCCTCTGCTCCAGGCACTGTTTTTGTTGCTGTTGTTGTAGAGGAGTCTCACTCTGTCGCCTAGGGCTGGAGTGCAGTGGTGCAATCTTGGCTCACTGCAACTCCACCTCCCAGGTTCAAACGATTCTCCTGCCTCCGCCTCCTGAGTAGCTGGGACCACAGCCACCGGCCACCACGCCTGGCTAATTTTTTATTTTTAGTAGAGACGGGGTTTCACTACGTTGGCCAAGCTGACCTCTAACTCCTGACCTTGTGGGCCGTGATGCCTGGTCAAATGCCGTTCCCTCCTCCCCAGCCATGGTTATGGCGACAGTCTCACTCTGTTGCCCAGGCTGCGGTACAGTGACACGATGCCGGTTCACTGCAGCCTCCACCTCCCAGGTTCAGGCAGTTCTGCCTTAGCCTTCCGAGTTAACTGGGATTACAGGTGCACGCCACCACACTCGGCTAATTTTTGTATTTTTAGTAGAGATGGCGTTTCACCACGTTGGCCAGGCTGGTCTTGAACTTCTGACCTCAAGTAATCCACTCACCTCAGCCTCCCAAAGTGCTGGGATTACCGGCCTGAGCCACCTCGCCCAGCCAGCTCCAGGCACTATTCTAAGCCAGTCTTTTTATCTTTCTTAACTTTCTTAATACTTCTCTGTTCCACAGATGAAGAAACTGAGGCACAGAAATTAAATATAACTTGCCCAAGGTCTCACAGCTAAAACATGGCAAAACCGGGTTCCAGCATCTTTCCGTATTTTTTTCAAATGCTTTATGTACTATCCCAGATCACTGATGTAATTACAGACAGGTCACCTGCTGTTGGAGCTGGGCACTGATGGGGCATTTGCGGTATATCTGTAAACAAAGATCTCTGCCTTTTGGTTATATACTGATTCGATGTGTATGTTAGGGCGTGGGGGCACCTACATTTATTTAGATTATTTTGCTGTGCCACCTGTCTCTTCACTGTGGCGTGAGTTAGAAGGTAAAATTTTCCTGTTAACGGTTTTTGTGCATTCAGCTCCATCCTTTTTTCTCCATAATCTTTTTTTTCTTTCCTAAAAAAGACGGAGTCTCGCTGTGTCACAAAGGCTGGAGTGCAGTGGCGCGATCTCACTGCAACCTCCGCCTCCTGGTTTCAAGTGATTCTTCTGCCTCAGCCTCCCGAGTAGCTGGGATTACAGGCACCGCCACCACCAAGACTGGCTAATATTTGTATTTTTAGTAGAGACAAGGTTTCACCTTGTTGGCCAGGCTGGTCTCAAACTCCTGATCTCAAGTGATCCTCCTGCCTTAGCCTCCCAAAATGCTGGGGTTACAGGCATGAGGCACTGTGCTGGCCCCGCAGTGAATCTTAAATAGCAAGCATGACCATGGCGACTTCTCCAGTGCTCTGATGGAGATGTTAATAAGGAGGAAAACGGCCAGAAGAATCCGTACAGAGACCTGGTTTCTCAACAGTGAAGAATTATGTCTATTCCTGGGTGTCTTTTTGTTTGTATGGCAAAGATGAATGACAAAACCAAGTGTTTTTGGGTGGACATTAAAAAGAGAGAGTTCCCAGGCAGTGGGAAGTGTCTTTATTTCTCATACTTTGTATTTTAGAATCTTAGACTTTAAAATCATTTGTGACCAGAAAAATAGTACATCCTTATAAAAGAAAATGTAAAAATCATTAAGATGTATGAAAAGCTGAAAGCCACTATGTAATTACTCTACTGGGAATCAGATTTTAGAGGTCTTTGGAATGCTAACATTTGCATTTTACTTTGTAGATACTAAAGAGTGATGAGTCACTTTATATCTTAGTGACCACAGAGTTCTAGGAAGCTTTACTCTGGTGTGTTGTGGTGTTGAGGGCAAACAAGAGTGGGGAGAGTATCAGGAAGGAGTTCAGGCAGGTTCAACAAGTCTTGGCAAGTTCCTGGGCGAGGTGTGGAAATGAGATGGTGTTTTTGTCCAGCTGGAGAGTTAGTGAAGAAGTCAGCGCAACACTCGGCAGAGCTCAGGGTTGGGGGAGGGTTTTGTTTTGTTGTTGTTATTAGGATACTAGGATCAGAAAACAAACTGCATATTTTAAGGGCCGGACAGGCACCCTCTTTGGATAGTTGCTGGAGTCCACTGCAGAATTCATGCTGTTCCCCGACTCGTGTGCCTTCCACCAATGCCATGTTATTGAAGAGTTAAGCCACTGATTTATTTTTGAAAGGTTATACGTTCTCCGAACACTAATACATCAGTGTTAATCATTTTGAACTTTTTTTTTTTTTTTTTTTTGAGATGAAATCTTGCTCTTATTCCTCAGTCTGGAGTGCATTGGCGAGATCTCAACTCACTGCGCCCTCGCCTCCTGGGTTCAAGCGATTCTCCTGCCTCAGTCTCCCGAGTAGCTGGGATTACAGGCGCCTGCCACTATGCCTGGCCGATTTTTGTATTTTTAATAGAGGCGTGGTTTCACCATGTTGCCAGGTTGGTCTCAGACTCCTGACCTCAGGTCATCCGCCCGACTTGGCCTCCCAAAGTGTTAGGATTACAGGCGTGAGCCACCATGCTCGGCCTCATTTTGAACTTCTAAATGTCTTAGCAATATACAGTTTGGGGCAATGAAATGTTCAGTCTTGGGAACCATGTATCTCTGTCTAGTGTAGCCTAAAAAACAGTGTTCCTGTTGTGAAGGTGTTTCCAGCACCTTACTGATATTCTTCCTGAAAGATACACTTCTTTAATGGGTCATCTTTAAAAGAATTTTAAATTCTAAATTTTACAATTATTTTGCTTATGGCAAAACTTTTAAGTATATGCATAGAAGAAGTTAAGGACTCTTTGATCATATATACAGTACTTCAGATTCCAGATATTACAAATCAATTGATATTTCATTTTAATTTTTCCAAATTGAGTTGGTGTAGTGTTATTCAGGAGTGCTGGTGTTCCCTGGGAATCTTCTTCTGCCTCCTAGAAAAAGCCTTTATTGGATTTGTAACCCTGGAGCCTAACAGCGCCATTGTGAAGTTCTCATTAAAGCAGTTTCCAGTGGCATCAGAGGTGTTTTTTACTTCACTTCATACTAGAGTGAATTTTTCAAACTCTGTATAAGAATTTATTCATTTAGAAAAGTAAACTTTTTACTTCTGTTTTCTGTAACTTAGGTTGAAAACATGGCCAAAAGAATTGCCGAGAAGGAATTGACAGATAAGAATTGGGATCAAGAGGATGAAGCTGAAGAGGTAAAAAATAGCTTCCCTATGAGTGATTTCCTGTTTATTCTGCCTTTTAACTTCATTTTAGGCTTTCTCATGAAGACTTGTGATAAAACTGAAAGACCTTTCTAAAAACGTCATGAATGGGAGATGATAAGAAATCATACGACCTGTATTTAGTGTAGAAGTTTATTAATTACATTTCTTGTGACCTCTAGTTAGTGTAGAAATTTATTACATTTAGTTGTGCTTTTCCACTAGTGCCTGTTCCTTAAATATTCTCCTTAATAGAAGAACTTTCCTCCTGAGTTTCGTGTCCTTGAAGCATTCTAAACCCATGGTTTGCAGTAAGCCGTGTTAGTCATGACTGAAGGCTGAGTTAAGTGATCTAGTCATGAACTTAGCACACTGTCACCATCACTGTCTGCAGTGCTCCCTTTCCCTAATGCTTCTTGGAGGCTTGCTTTATTTCCTGTGTGTGTGTGTGTGTGTGTGTGTGTGTTTTTAATGGAGTCTCACTTTGTTGCCCAGGTGGGAGTACAGTGGCACAGTCTTGGCTCACTGCAACCCCCGCCTCCAAGGTTCAAAAGATTCTCCTGCCTCAGCCTCCTAAACAGCTGAGATTACAGGCGTACACCCCCATGCCCAGCTAATTTTTTTTGTATTTTTAGTAGAGACAGGGTTTCACCATGTTGGTCAGGCTGGTCTTGGACTCCTGACCTTGTGATCCACACGACTTAACCTCCCAAAGTACCGGGATTACAGACATGAGCCACTGTGCCCGGCCATTTCCTGTTCTTAATGGTAGATCTGAGATCCCTAACAATTGCATTTATGGGAACAGAATTTAGATTGGCCTAGTTGCTTTTCCAGTAAAATAAAAATGGTCTCCCCTGAGGAAATCTGATCATTTTTCCCTTATAAACAGTAGGACTGGGCATCATAGAGAGACCCCCATCGCTATTAAAAAAATAATTTTTTTTTTTTTAATTAGCTGAACATGGTGGCATGAGCCTATAGTCACAGTAGTTCAGGAAGCTGAGGGTTGCTTGAGCCCAGGAGTTCAAGACTGCAGTGACCTGTGATTGTGCCACTGCACTCCAGCCTGGGTAATAGCATGAAACCCTGTCAAAAAAACCAAGACTAGAACACATCTTACAGTGCCTTATCAGCAGTGTGTCACTCTGAGGCCAGATCACTAAGGAAATCGGTAACCAAGTTAGCCTTTCAGGTGAACAGCATAGTGCTAAGTAAACAAAAGTTTAAAAACTTGCAAGTGTTCTAAAGCTTATTCTTAGATTGCCATCTTCTTTCTGAATCTTTCTAGTACTGGTCCTTTTTTCTTTACAAGTGCATGCACTCGCATATGTTTAGGGAAACCAGAATCACAAGGATGTTATGTTTGATGAGCTAAACTGACTGGTGCTTTTTAACTCTGTCTTTTGTTACGGGGGTTTTTGGTTTTTTGTTATTGTTGGTTTAAGGTCTTAAGCACAGTTACATTCTGGGCTATAGTAACAACTAGATTACCGTTAACAATTTGCTTAGACATTGAAATATTCAGGAACGAAAGAACTCCCATTTGAGCATACACTAATGAAATACATGTGGAAAGATTACATTTAGTTAAGTACATTTAACTTTGTTTGGGCAAGTGCGGTCAGATGGTCCCCTCTGAGTGCAGGGATCCCATTAAGTGTAATAAAATCTGAAACAGCTATAGGTAGAATTTTTGCATGGGAAATATTTTATTCCAACCCTACAGGGTAAAAGAAGGGTTATAAACTAAAGCCAAAGATCTTCAGCAGATTTCTGACGTGGATGTCAGGAATGTGGACATCAGTGCGCTTTGAGTGTGCACTGTAGAAAAGCAGTAGTTTTCCAGCAGGGTCTTAGGTGCCTCTGTGGCCTTTTGTACAGTAGGCAGGTTGGGCAGGACTCATCTTAAAAATCGTGTATGTTATAAATATAAAATTTATTTATTTTTTGAGGCAGAGTCTTGCTGTGTTGCCCAGGCTGGAGTACAGTGGTGATGTCTCCACTCACTGCAACCTCTGCCTCCTAGGTTCAAGCAGTTCTCCTGCCTCAGCCTCCCAGGTGGCTGGGATTAGAGGTGCCCACCACCATACCCAGCTAATTTTTGTATTTTTAGTAGAGACAGAATTTTGCCATGTTGGCCAGACTGGTCTCAAACTCCTGACCCTAAGTTGATCCACCCGCCTCAGCCTCCCAAAGTGCAGGGATTACAGGCATGAGCCACTGTGCCTGGCCAAAATTTATTTTTTGAAAGGCTACAAACAGTGGCCCAGTTCTAGCTTCTTGTTATTGTTGAACATTTTATCAGCTTTTTGGCTTTATCTGTTTAATTTGTGTTGTCTTGCAGGTGGGAACGTTCTCACTGGCCAGTGAGGAAGTCTTGAAGAACAGAGCGATAAAGAAAGCAAAGCGCAGAAACGTGGGGTGTGAGGTGAGCGCTGCCTTCCAGCTCCTGCCACGAAATGCTCATTTGATTTCTGAGTTGCACAGCATTCTCTCCGCTGGGAGCAGTGATAGCAACAAATGCTTTCTTAAAATGCTTGTTCTTTGATGTAGATCATGGGTGATAGAAAAAAACAATAAACATAGATCTGGACCTTAATAAAGGGAGCTTATCCAGCTGAGGAAATAAATCTAGACAAATTCAAGTTGATTGACAATATGGAAAAACGAGCAAAGCCATATAGATGTGGGCAAAGTGGCATCAGATTGGAGTAAGAAAGGAAAATGCAAGGATCTTCTGAGAGTCGTGTCTGCCTCCTAGGATCGAGGCTTGGGTAGGGGGAGCCCTTTTGCTTTGCTAGAAGCATTTCATGTGTGGATTTTCTTTCTAGTATAGGATAGTATAGTCTATAAAAATGATTGATTCCTGTGCTAAGAAAGATGAAAGATTAATTGTAACTCTTAAATTGAAATAATGTGGTATTGAGCAATCACTCCGCATCTAAGAACTCTTTCCCAGTACAGTCCTCTCCCTTCAGATACATTCTATACCCAAGAGCATGTGGTCTTGGTGGCCTGGACATCCAGTGTTAGGCAGGAGAAGCCACTTTGAACATCCTGCATGGCAGCTTTGAAATAAATCTACCTTACCCCACGTTCTGCAGTGTTTAATTTTAAAAATCAAGAATATTTTCTTGGGTATCTCTAATCTGAAAATCCAAAATGCTCCGAGATCTGAAGCTTTTTGAGCACCATCGTGATGTTCCAAGGAAATGCTCATTGGAAGATTTCAGATGGTCAGGTTAGTGGAGCCACACCAGTAAGCATAACGCAGACATCCCGAGAGCATAAACATTTCCATTCCTAAGCATTCTCCTTAAAGGACACGCAAGCTGTTACCTCCCTTTTATTTCCAAACAGAAAGGATAGTAAAGATCGATTGTTCACGCTTTGAGAAACGATGAAAAGAAACTATTACAAAAATATTCGTTACATTGCCAAAGTTTTGATCGTAAAATTTTTTCCGTTTGAAAATGTGTAAGGAAGGGAGCCAGGTAGGTGGCAGTGATAGGGAGGCGGTCTGAGACGTTTACGACAGCCAGTCAGTCCCTTGAAGCGTCTTGTAAATGTGATGATATGTGTTAATGGGAAAACAATTCAAATTTCAAAAATATTTGCAATTTTCCTAGAATATATTACTGTTGATGTTCATAGATATTGTGTAATTCAAGGCAGAGATACATAATCATATATCAAATTGATTCTCAAGTGGTTCTGGTTAGTCACTTAGCTAGTGAATGCCGTGGCTAACACCGTACATGTGCCTTCTTTATCTGCTCCATTGAACGCTTTATTTAGATTCATGAGAGGAACATCATTTCCTGAAGTTGTAAAAGCTCTTTCATGTAGAACTTCAGGTCAACAGGGTTTGCACTGCAAAGAAAGGAAATGGGTACAGGGGAAGCGTATCTCAGATCCAAGCTAGAGATTAGGTCTTCTGTTTTATAATTACTTACATTTTGCTTAAAAATTATATTAATTTCTTATTTGACAGAAATTGTATGCTTATGGTGTATAACATGGTGTTCTTTTCAAGTGTACAATACATTATTGCCTGTAGTCTCCCTGTGGTACAGTCAACCTGTTCAACTTCAGGTTTTTTTATTTGTTTTTATTCTGGTGTGATTTTATGAATTGCCTTGACTGGTGACTAAGTGCTAGATGTAGGTGTTGAGCTGAGTGATGTTTGATGGCTCTTTCACTGAGAAGGTGCAGTCAGGAGAGGGATGGCTTCATTAAGGAGGAAATGGCCGGTCTTGGAAATGTGTTTGGAAGGACTCGGTACGCGCAAGTGGAAAGTCCCTAAAGGACCGCTAGGTGTAGAACAGGAATTAGGGCGAGGATGGGCACGGCTCCGGGAGCTCTGGCGGGATTGAAGCCATGGGACTAGACCAGAAGAGGCAGGCAAGCGGAGAGGGTCTCCGGGAGAATGAGAAACAGCAGCTCACTGCAGAAGCCAAGGGAAGTCATTTTCAGGGAGGGGCACCCACCTGTCCATTCGAAGGAAAGTCAGGAGGTAGAAACGGTGCAGACCATAATCTACAACTTAAGCTGAAGGGATGAGGGAGGGAGAGGGCAGCAGCCCTTGGGCTACTAGGGGAAATTAAACGTACGTAGATAATAGAAATCCACAGGTAATTTCAGCTGCAACTCTTAGCCTGAAGTTTTCATCAGAACTTGTATATTAGGAAAATTAAAGTCATGTCACCCACCAGAATGCTGCAATGTGGTTTTTTCCTCAGTAGTGGATTCAATAGATCTACTGAGCACTGGAGATACATTGGTGAGTTAAAAACACCAGAATTTCCTGGTCTTTGGAAAAGAAACAAATGAATACATAGTATTAATTTTCCCTCTGTAAGTGTCAGGGGGGGAAGTAAAACCAGTAAGGGAGATTGACCGACATGAGGATGTGTCAGTGCCCATGGAGCCCAGATGGGCATGTTCCTTTCTCTTTTCTTTCTTGTTTGTTTTTTCTTTTTTGACACAAGGTCTTCGTTGCTCAAGCTGTAGTGCAGTGGCACAATCTTGACGCGCTCCAGCCACTGCCTCCTGAGCTGAAGCAGTCCTGCCTCAGCCTCCTGAGTAGCTGGGATTACAGGCATGTGCCCCCATGCCCAGCTAATTTTTGCAGAGCTGAGGGCTCAGTGTGTCACCCAGGTTGCTCTCCAACTCCTGGGCTCAGGCGACCTGACTGCCTCGGCCTCCCAGAGTTCTGGGATTACAGGCGTGAGCCACCTCACCCGGCCCCCAGATGGTTATCTTCTTAGTCAACTTTTACTCTCATTTTTCTGAATATCTTTTGTTTAACTTGTGGTTCTAGAATTTTTATGATGACTCTAGAGCTAATTTACTATCAGCATTTTCCAAACTCCCTATGAATACCAAATGTCTTTTAAATTTGTGCAGAATTGAAGGCTCTAAAAAGCCACTTGTGTCTTTACAGTTTGTCCATGAATCATCGTTTTAAAATAACAGCTATCAGTTTGGTGTATTTGGAATTTTAAATGATGAAAAATCAAATTTAGAGCAACAGAATCTAAGCTGTATTTATGCATCAAAACTCATTTAAGTCAAAATTGTGCCTTCGCCCGACTTGATTGCCATAAATATATCAGTGGTCAGTGAACATCTGAAATTCTGTAGATGAGATTGAAACTCTGGTTTTAGAGAAATATGCAATAAAAAAAATAATAAAATAAATATACAATAATATTTAGGCTAACTGGCCTGTTTAGTAAATGAAGAGTTCCAGTTTAATTTTTTTTGGTGAAATTATACACGGATGTGGAAACTTCAGATTTGTGAACTCTGTCTTAAATGTCTTAGATGTTTGGTCTAAGAAGCAGATCACTTCCTGTAATGTAATCACTTCTTTGAACAACAACAAAAAAAAGGGCTTCTAAAAATTGTAGTGAGTTTATTTAGCAAAGCACTATAGATGGAGGAACCTTTCTCTAAAAGTTCCAGGGGCGGAGAACAGCTTTAGAATCCATAAGGAATGCCAGACATTTCTAGAGTGGTTTAGGTTAGAGATGTGAGCAGGCTAGTGCGAAGGGGAAAGGCCTACTGGAAAAGCCGTGTTCAAACAACCGAGTTCGAGGAAGCAGTGAGAAAAACGAGAGTAAAACGTTGTCCTGGGTTGCTCAGCTAACAGGAGCTTGTAGATTTGAGACTTGATCATCTTTTCAGGTTTTTGTAGGCTGAAAGCTACAGATGTTCTTAGGAAATTAGGTAAATGGATATTTTTAGTTAACCTAACTTGATGTTTCTATAATTTCTGTAGGCAATAATTATGGTCTTTGATTGAATAGTACATGAAGAATCTTTCATTTCGGATTTAGTTTTATTGAGACACTTCAGTTATTCTGAGGCTGGGTGGTGGGTACATAAGTTTATAGTATTAGTCTTTTATGTCCTAAAAGTATACATAATACATTTTTTAAAATATATTTTTTAAATGTCCTTCCTGCCTATTTCAGGAAGGCAGCTTTGGGTTGTATAAAGTCTTCCCATCTCATTTCTTTCTTCTGCTTGTGCCAGCAATTTGCCTTAGAATGCTGGCTGCATGTGGAGTCTAAGTGCTATTTAGCCAAGACACTGTTGCCACTCCCTTGCTCATTTGGTAATCGAAAGTATACTGGGCCGGGCACGGGGGGCTCACGCCTGTAATCCCAGCACTTTGGGAGGCTGAGGCGGGTGAATCACGAGGTCGGGAGATGGAGACCATCCTGGCTAACAAAGCGAAACCCCTTCTCTACTAAAAATACAAAAAAGTAGTCGGGCGTGGTGGAGCGCACCTGTAGTCCCAGCTACTCGGGAGGCTGAGGCAGGAGAATCACTTGAACCCGGGAGGCGGAGGTTGCGGTGAGCCAAGATTGTGCCGCTGCACTCCAGCCTGAGTGACCGAGCGAGACTCCATCTCAAAAAAAAGAAGTATACTTACCTAATATGTACTCTGTCTTTATATTTCAGTCTGACAGTGGAGGAGCCTTTAAAGGTTTTAAAGGTTTGGTTGTGCCTTCTGGAGGAGGACGGTTTCCTGGATTTGGTAGTGGTGCTGGAGGGAAGCCTTTAGAAGGACTTTCTAATGGAAACAACGTAACCAGTGCCCCTCCCTTCAGCAGTGCAAGGGCAGCCGCAGAGCCCAAGGTAGCCTTTGGTAAGTAGGCTCCTGTCCCCCAGCCACCTCTGTGTAAGTAGAATCTATGGAAAAGCGCTTTGCAGAGATGTTTTTCTTATACCTGCTCCGTGTCTTAGAACCATGTGAGCAAAAACAGTCTAATGATGAAAGAGATGGAACTTAGGGAGGTGTCGGTTATTTACAGAGTAAGCTGGTAGAGCACACGGGCTTCAGATCCAAAACAGACCTTCATTTTGTTCGCAGCTCTGCCAGTTACCAGTTGTGTGACCCTGGCCTCTAAGCCTCAGATGCCCAATTTTGAAAGGAGAATGACCCTCAGAATTGACCTAGAGTCAAAAGAGAAGATGCTGTGTAGACAGATAGACCCTTTGTGTGCCAAGGGCTTTCTGTGTGCCTGACACCAAAATGGAGGCCAGGAACTCGGATGAAGTTGTCTGTGGCCAGGGTCCCTCCCAGGCTAGGTTTGTCTGGGTATGGGATGTGTTGATTGCCTGATCCTGTTTTGAGGGAATTAGTTGAAAACTCTTGGAATTAGCAACAGAAAATGCAATCATGGGTGAAAATCTTGGGAATGATCCTGACTGGTTGAGTTGTTTTTAGCTAATTATTCTGAAAGTGTACACAGTTTGATATTAATTTGGCCAAATGTTTATTTAGTGTGATTTAAAATACGCGCTTTCTGTTAAGATCTTTTAACTACAGCCATCCCCTAGTATCCTGGGGATTGGTTTCAGCACTTCTTGGATGTTCAAGTCCTGTAGTGAGACCAGCATAACTCTTGGATAGGAAGAGTGAGTGTCCATATCTACTGGTTCCTCATCTCCAGAGTGACTGCATTGAGATGGGGTCTCGCTCTGTCACCCAGGCTGGAGTACATTGGTGTGATCTCGGCTCACTGCAGCCACTACCTCCGAGCTGAAGTGATCCTCCCACATCAGCCTTCCCAGGCGCTGGGACTGTCGGCGCATGCCACAACACCCAGCTAATTTTTGTGTTTTTTTGTAAAGATGATGTTTTGCCATGTTGGCTAGGCTGGTGGTAATCTCCTAAGCTCAAGCAGTTGGCCTGCCTCAGCCTTCCAAAATATTGGGATTACAGGCCTGAGCCACCGTGCCTGACTGAGTACCACGTTTCACAGGTGCGGGACCTGCAGGTACAGAGGGCCGACTGCACTTTAATACTGTTTATCCCAACAACCTTGGGGGTTAAGGGTTAATGCTGACCTGCTATTCTGACAATGCTGTAGGTACCCTTTTGTCTATGGCTACATCATCCTGGACACACCTGATCTCATCTCAGGCATCCATTTGAAGGAAAAGGTTATTTAAAAAATGTGTAGTGTCTTAATGCAAGCATATGGTGGTTAGTGTTCTTGCATAAAGTTTGATTTGATCTTTATTAATCAGCTTTACTGATAACCGGTTACTAAATACTACTCCTTGAATACATATTTCTTGAGCTGTCACAAAAATAGGATACAGTTGGCCAGGCGCAGTGGTTCACGCCTGTAATCCCAGGATTTTGGGAGGCCAGGTGGGTGGATCACGAGCTCAGGAGTTTGAGACCAGCCTGGCCAACATGGTGAAACCCCGTCTCTACTAAAAATGCAAAAATTAGCTGGGCGTGGTGGCAGGCGCCTGTAGTCCCAGCCGCTGGGGAGGCTGAGGCAGGAGAACTGCTTGAACCCGGGAGGCAGAGGTTGCAGTGAGCTGAGATCGTACTCCAGCCTGGGTGACAGCAAGACTCTGTCTCGGGGTTGGGGGAAAGATAGGATAGAGTCAAAGCAAAAGTATGAAGGCAGAATGGCAGAAAAATCTAGACGATTTCATCAAGTTTGTCTTGAATGATTTAATTATTGACATCCTGTAGGTTCTCTTGCTGCCAATGGCCCTACCGCCTTGGTTGAGAAGAAAGTTTCAAATCCCAAAACGAATGGGGACGGTCAGCAGCCCTCCTCCTCTGGCCTGGCTTCCAGTAAAGCTTGTGTCGGGAACGCCTATCACAGGCAGTTGGCTGCCTTGAACTGCTCCGTCCGGGATTGGATAGTGAAGCACGTGAACACAAACCCCCTCTGCGATCTGACACCTATCTTTAAAGACTATGAGAACTACCTAGCCAACATTGAACAGCAGCACGGAGAGGGCGGCAGGAATTCCGAAAGCGAACCCGACCGACCGGCAGCCGAAACGCGGTCTTTTTCCCTTTTCGGCTCGACAAAATTACAGCAAGAGTCAACATTTTTGTTTCATGGCAACAAAACTGAAGATGCAGCTGAAAAGAAGGTGGAGGTTGGAACTGAGAAGAAAACAGACCCATCGCTGGGAGCGACAAGTGCCTCATTTAACTTCGGCAAGACAGTCGACAGCTCTGTTGCGGGCTCGTTAAGCTCTGTCCCCCTGACTGGATTTTCATTTTCCCCTGGAAACTCCAGTTTATTTGGCAAAGATGTTACCCAGAGTAAACCAGTGTCCTCACCATTTCCCGCTAAGCCATTGGAGGGCCAAGTGGAAGGAGACAGCAGTGAATGCAAAGGTAAGTACCAGGCTTGTCATTGGGTTTAGATTTGTGTTTCTTGAGAAAGGTAGAGGCCTGGATTTGGAATTGATCTAGAGTCACATTGAGACGTTGTCACCCGCTCCATGTGTGATCTCTGAGTTTCAGATTCCTTATTTTTAAAAGAGTAAGACCTATTTTGTAGGGTTGTTTATAAGGATTAAAAATAATAATAATAAAATGAATTTTAAAACATCTGACCCTGAGAAGTCTCAAACACACATGGAGTAGCATATGAAAAAGAAGTAAAGACTTTTTTGAAAATTGTGTTTTGGAAAAGTTCATCAAGTTCATTATGAATGTCCCCTGAATTGATCTGGACTTAGGAGATTTGACTGTAAATAAAGTCACGTGGCAAAACAGTACATGACTGTACAGTAAAAATGTAGACTTTGCATAGCTATAGAGACTTTTCATAGCTACAGAGAACAAATCCTCCTGTGGGTGTGGAGGTACCTCCTTTCCAGAGGACAGCCGTGGTGTCTGAGTGGCGTCTCCTGTACGTATTATCAGTGCCCCAGACCAGGCAAAGGTCTGGGCCTTAGTCTGGGCCCTTCACTCCCTTTGTTTTTAGCTAAAAAGTGGGGTGATACCATAACACCACTTCCTCATATGGTGGTTGTGAACAAATGATGTCTGTGAAGATACCCACTTATAAGCAGTTAAAAGTGAGGCCGGGTGAAGTGGCCCACATCTGTAATCTCAGCACTTTGGGAGGCTGAAGTGGAAAGCTCACCTGAGGCCAGGAGTTTTGAGACCAGCCTGGGCAGCATAGCAAGACCCCATCTCTACAAAAATTTTTAAAAATATAGCCAGGCAAGGTGGTGGGTGTCTGTAGTCACAGCTGCTCTAGAGGCTGAGGTGGGAGCATCTCTTGAGCTCAGGAGTTCAAGGTTGCACGATTGCACCACTGCACTCCAGCCTGGGCAACACAGAAAGACCTCGTCTCAACAAAAGAAAAGGTGTACTCCTCAGACATAGGAACATTGATCCTTGAGGAAGAAAACTGCATTTGCCAGTTTGCTGCTGAAATATGTTTTTCCAGCAGGAGGCTAGACTTCCATTACTGTTTTGCCTTGCCCTGCTTTCAAGTGTATCCTCAGGCGCGGGCCCTCAGGACCAAGGGTGAAGGAAGTGTCTCCCCTTTTACTTCTTCTCTGCCTCCCAGAAGTAAAGACACATGGGGAGTCTTTTCCCGAGGCAGGCAGTGGGACAGCGAGAGTCCCAGTGGATGCAGGACACCCCTCAGTCCCTTGGTTATCACAGTTTACGCATCAGAAGACGGGAGACTGGAGTGATAAAATGAACAGTCCTGTCTGATTTAAATGTGATCTAATCATCTGAGCATCACAGTTTTTTTTCTTAGAATTGCTTTTTTAGTGAGTTTTTATGCAACTGCCATCCTCTTTAAGAGGATCTTTTATACATGCGGTTTTTTAATTTTTTTGAGATGGTCTCAGTCTCACCCAGGCTAGAGTGCAGTGGCACAATCAGGGTTCACTGCAGCCTTGACCTCCCAGGCTCAAGCGAGCCTTCTATTTCAGTCTGCCCAGGACCTGGGTCCACAGGGATGCACTACCACATCTGGTTAACTTTTTTATTTTTTGTAGAGATGGTGGGGGGTTGTGTTGACTGGGCTGGTCTTGAACTCATGGGCTCAAGCGATCTTCCTGCTTTGGCCGCACAGTGTGCCGGGATTACAGACATGAGCCACCGTACCTGGCCTAATACATGTGTTTAAATAGTGTTTTGTTTAAATGATGTTCCACATCTCCTGTGTTTGGGAGACCCCATTAGTGGGGATACCATTGATAACAGAGCAGTGACCCATGTGGCAATTCAGACAAAGTTTAAATTACTTACGCCATGACAGCTTGCCTCCTGTTTAAAAAAAAAAAATGTATTTTTCTGTCTTTGGCCATTATTGATACTGGTTGTGGATATATCCTCACAGGAATATTCAGGGGTGAAGGTATTAAAATCCTATCTGAGATGTCATTTTTGAGTGGGTAATTTGAATAGAGTATTATTTTTCTGTAAATGTCCTAAGTACGGAGATTTTTCCATTCTAGGTTTTCTATGTACCGGGAGTTATTTTAGAATTAAGAAGTATGTTCCCATTAAAAAGGATGCTTGTTTTTCACAAAGTAGTTACAATCCAGCAGGCGCTCCCTCTGCCGTCCCCCCATTGGGTGTGCATTTTAGTCTGTGGGTACGTGGAGTGCTCAGCTGGAGGTTTAGGGTGTTACGTAACAAAACTTCTGTTACTTTTTTAAGCTCTGGGTTGGAATCTGACTGAATTATTGTCATTTTTATAAAAGGTGGAGATGAAGAAGAGAGTGATGAGCCACCCAAAGTAGTAGTTACTGAAGTAAAAGAAGACGACGCTTTTTACTCCAAAAAGTAAGAGGCACCAGGACCTGCTGGTGTGTGTGTTTAGAGACATGGTAGCGTTCTTCAGGCTGGAGAACGTCCTCACACAGCTTGACTGAGCATTCAGTCCGGGGGTCAAGCTTTGCCTGCTTTCAAGTGGAACAGGAAAGAATTCTTGGCCAGTTTATTTTTAAAAAGCCAGTTCTAGAAATGTCCTGGTGGCAGGTCTCAATCTCTTCTGTCACTTTAGCTCTTTTAAAGTGCTTTAGAGACAGGCTCTTCCATGATCTTCCCAACTCCATCCCGTCCCACCTTCTCTTTTTCTCCCTCCCGCTCCTACTCCCCTAACAAAAGAAATCTCAAGTCACTGATTTCAGGTTTGGCTTCACTTACTTTACTCTGGAGGCATCTCTGATCCCTTCCTGGAGGCTTGGTTGGCCTTTCTGGATTTTCTAATAGTCAAAAAGTTGTGAACAGTAACCATTCCTTCCTCTTTAGGAAGGCGAGAACTTGCATCTTCCTTTCAGTTAAATGAGATTAGTTTTTACAAAAGTGTTTGCTGAAAAAAACCTTTGTGCAATTTCAGAAGCTTCTAAGATGTGTTTTTGTAATGCAAACATTTCAGAATAATGAGCCAGCAATTTTCCATGTAATAGGTCACCACATCCTGTAGGATTCCCAGGTGTTAGTTTCAAGAACTTTTAAAAGAGGCCAACAGTTTCTTCTTTATGTGTTTAAATTTCATTACTCACATGACATAAAGGAGTGACTCTTTTTTTTTTTTTTTTTTTGGAGACGGAGTTTTGCTCTTGTTACCCAGGCTGGAGTGCAATGGCGCGATCTCGGCTCACCGCAACCTCCGCCTCCTGGGTTCAGGCAATTCTCCTGCCTCAGCCTCCTGAGTAGCTGGGATTACAGGCACGCGCCACCATGTTTTTTTAAGAATGAATCAAATTGAGGCCAGGCGCTGTGGCTCACGCCTGTAATCCCAGCACTTTGGGAAGCTGAGACGGGCAGATCACCTGAGGTCAGGAGTTCCAGACCAACCTGGCCAACATGGTGTGAAACCCTGTCTCTACTAAAAATGCCAAAATTAGCCAGGTGCAGTGGTACATGCCTATAATCTCAGCTATTTGGAAGGCTGAGGCACTAAGAATTACTTGAACCCGGAAAGCAGAGGTTGGAGTGAGCCGAGATCATGCCACTACACTTCAGCCTGGGCCACAGAGTGAGAGACTCTGTCTCAAAATAAACGAATAAATAAATGAGTGGGGTTGTATTATTAATAACCTCAGGAGATGTGTAGCATAGGAGGCTGGAATGGTATTTGATTACTTTGTTATTCAACCCTACCCAAGAACGTTTTCCAAATTTCCTTTCAAAATGTTGGTCAGTCAAAAACTGAGGGAGCCTCGAGACTTTAAAATAAGAAATAGGCCCAAGAAAAGGAGAGGCGGGCGAGATGCAGGACAGAATCTTTGTCCTATATTTGCTCCTGTCTGTAGAGGACCAGAGCAGCTCTCTGGAGCCCAGGGCCAAAGGAGCAGAACAGGGAGGGAGGGCCGTTGAGCTCTTGAGTTTGACTGACTTGAGAACATGGTTTCAGAAAGTCTTACAAAAAGTTTCATGGGGCCCATTGTTTAATTTGGAAAAGTGGGGAGGAGTTTTAGTATCTCCAGGCAGATTTTCTTATTCTGGTTTTTGCCTAGGCTCAGTTTGGATCAATTAAAGATTTATCCTGAAGTTTCCTGTACTCTCACGTAATACAGATTTTCCGCACAAGTGTGAAGAGTGGTCGTTAGAAAACTGTGTGACCTGTTCCTTTTCTCCGTAGGTGTAAGCTATTTTACAAGAAAGACAATGAGTTTAAAGAGAAAGGCATTGGTACTCTGCACTTAAAGCCTACAGTGAATCAGAAGACACAGCTTTTGGTGCGGGCAGACACCAATTTAGGTGGGTACCTTTTTTTCAGTTGGCACAAAATCATCATCCTCGCATAGTATAGACAAGCCTTTACCCTGCTGCCTCAAGGGTGTTCATGTTTTTAAACAGAGCACATTCTGGCCAAATTCATCTACATTTATTGAGTATAGATTTAGTTTTGAGTCTGAGGATAATAGTGTATAAGGAATCATAGATGTGTTAAAAGCTATCAACAAAATGATTTCTCATTTTCCTTTGTGTTAGGAATGTGACAAGCTAGAGATTAGACAGTTTAATAAAACACCCAAGGGAAATGAACCTTCTAAAGGAATCCTTTTTATATAGCAAGTAATCACTAACCCATCGCTGTCTGCCCTCAGTTTTACCCTGACAACAGCCCATTGCAAGGAGCCTGGCACCCAGAGGAGGAAGGGCAGGCCTGAGGAAGGGTGAACAGTGGGCTGCGTTGCAGAAGGAAACGCCAGGGAGGCATTTTTCTTTCCCATGGGCTTAGCTAGTGAGTAATAACATCACGGTCATGTCACTCTTGCCCAGGGAGCTGCGCTGGCCTCCCTGACAGAGATGTCCTTTGTTGGTGTGGCTCAGTGAAGACTCTGGGTTGTGCCACCGTGTTCTTCAGTTCAAAAACAGACAGGATTGGGAGGGCTGACGGTTCTGAGCAAGGCTGTGGGCTCTGTGAGAAACGCAGAGACTCGGGCTGGAGCCTAGGGCAAGTCCTGCCTGAGGCTTACGGTTCTCGGAGCACCAGTCCCAGTTTTGCGACCTTCCCGTTGGCTCCCCAGATCAGATCCATTAAGTATACGTGGCTTTACTGTTTACTGTTTAGCATGTTACGGACGCCTTCGGTGGAGCTGCAGTTTATATCATTTTGATGGATTTTGTTTGTTTACATGCAGGCAACATATTGTTGAATGTTCTGATTCCGCCCAATATGCCATGTACCCGAACAGGGAAAAATAACGTTCTTATCGTCTGTGTTCCAAACCCACCAATTGATGAGAAGAACGCCTCCCTCCCGGTTACCATGTTGATTCGGGTGAAAACCAGCGAGGATGCAGATGAGTTGCACAAAATTTTACTGGAGAAAAAGGATGCCTGAGCATGCACAGTCAGCTGTGGGATGGTCACCACACTGCTGCTTCTCCCACCGCCCCTTAAAACTTCGTTTTTCTTCTCTTCTTTGACATTCTGAGAACTTATAGATAACTTAAGACTCCTGTGAGGAAGATTAACATAGCCAATAAAACGTTTAAATGTTAAGTGTCAGGGTTCTGAAGAACTGTCTAAAGTGTAAAATACATTTGAATGCAATTTTTGGAGGATTTTTTTTAATGTTCCTTTGTTTATTAAACTAACCATAAGTGATTTCTTCAAGGACTGCAATCAGGGTATCGATTCGCTTTCCCAAAGGCTCTTCAACCATGGGTTTTGGGGTCTGCCGCCACCACCACCAGAAAGGCTTTGGAACAGGGTACCCGGCCAGTGTCCAGAAGGAAGCTGGCCTGCATGCTTCTCTCCGGTGGGCTCGACCGACATGTGACTCGTTCTGTTACCAAATGAACCGGACTGGCACGCTGTGACAGATGTTTGTCCTCTGCTTTTTGATTTTTAAGCTAAAATGTGAGTAGCTAAGAGTTCACCTCAGCGTTCTAGTCATTGGCCTGTAACCCTGTGGGCTGCCTCACCAGAATTCAGGAATCGCATTTTCATCTTAAAAGGAAATGAGTCGCTTGTGAAGGAGTTTCTGGTTTTGTAGTTTCTAGTCATGAGGTGCCGTTACTTCTTCATTCCCCTAAAGAGGAAATTAAGGGGGGATTGCCAGGAATGGGTTTAAAAGCACAAACTTGGTAGCTTATCCTCTACAGCATGGACCGTGGACCCGTACGAAATGAAAGTGAAGTCGCAGTGAAACCATCATAGAGAAAGATGATGCTCATAGGCATCTGTACCATGATCAACCCCACACGTATGAAAACCATTACCAAGTGAGGGCCTGGGAGCTCTGACACCCGAGCCATGTGAATTCACTGGGAAGCATGGAATGAGGTCATGGAAGAGAAAATCGTGTGTAAATTTTGCCTTAACTTTAGACAGCAGTGTATTATTCGTCTGATACCTGAAATATCTTTAAGAAGATTCCATGTGTCTGGAAGGGAGCCATGGTTATGCACGCAAATATCCATGTCACTTCTCCAGAGTCGTCAGGTAACATGAGCATTCTTTGAAGACTCTGGGCACGTGCATAAGATTCAAAATTTAACATTAAAATTCCACTTTCATTGCTCATGAATCATTTGAGACTAGTATCAGCTGATCTTGTGTAGAGGCTGAGGGTCAGTGCCCAAGGGCTCACGTGTGTATGTCCTGATCTTCAGTGCAGAGTGTATTCTCATTTAGAAGAGAGCAGTCAGAATAACTGGACGGTACAGATCCTTTTTTAAAACTACAATTTAAGTATAAAGTTTTTTTTTTGTGGGGGGGGGTCAATTTTATGATCAGTTATGATTAACTCCTGAGTACCTGAGGTGTGCGATCGGGCCAGCGCTGTCCTGAGGTTCTTGCTGTACTTTCAGCGTTTTGATCCCACCGGGGGAGGTTGGCCTAGCGTGTGGCTTTGGATGAGTCCGTGCGGAGAGGTGTGCCTCTGCTGTTAGAGGATGCGTTCAGACATAGCTGTGGTACGCACCCTAGGGAGGACGTGGTCATTGTTCTTACGTTTACTTTAGAATTGAGAATGCACGTGAGTTTTTGTTGCAGGTGAGTTATAGTAAGCAAATGGTTGATGCTGTTAAAATAACATCGGCCCGGCCCGATTCACGTGAGGTTTATTCAACTTTTAAAAAGATGAAGAGGAACTAAGGGGAACAAAGTTAAGTTTGCTGCAGCTTCGCCACACATGTGCCCCTGGCAGCAGCTGGAATCGGAAGCTTGCAGGCATCTTTGGGGCACTTCAGTGTTCCTGACACGGTACTTTGTTATTAACTGTGTGTCTATGGAAAGTTTACAGAAAATGGCATGAAAAGATCATGATTGGATTACCTGTTAAGCCTCTCCTTTCTGTAAAAAATCGTTTCTATATTTTTAAATTAGTGGGTATGTGTGGCTTTCTGTTTTCCTAACATTCCCAGCAAATTGCTGCTGCTAAGACTATCACTGTTAAGGTGAAAATTACAGGGGAAAATGTGATGCATATACCATAACTCAAAATGTGATATTTTCTTAAAATGACTCTTTTATGCTTTAGAACTGGTTGGTTTCCACTTTATCAGTGTAAAGAACCTGAATATATGTGGATTTTATTGTAAAATTTAACTCCTTTTTACTTGGGGCATGGGGCCCCTGGAGGGCTTACCTATTTTCCCCACTATGTTATCAGCTAATTCTGATTTATGGGTTTAGTTTAACAAAATTAGGCTTTAAAACGTTTAATGTGGACTGAAAGTTTCATCTTTTGTCTGAGAATCTATGAATTGTATCATATACAGGCCTAAAGTAAGGTGTGTATTTTGTTATTCTAAAATTGTTTAGCATCTTGACAAATACTAAGTATCCCAGTGGCCTTTTTTTAAAAAAAAAAAAACAAACCTGTGTGTCCATCTCATCCTTTTGTGCATTCCTAGTAAGCAAAAAAATTTCTTATGCCATCTTCATTATTGGAATTACAGACTGAAAATCTGTCCAGTTTTTAAATTAGTTTAGATTGTTTTCCACGGAAAGATAAGTCCGACTGTTCGTGGACTGATTTTAAGAGGATTATTCTATTTTACAATTTCAATTCTAAATCACATTTTATATATGCTGCATGCCAAAAAAAAAAAAAGCTACTTTTTCTGGTGTAGAGGGGAAGAAAAACGAATACTCTACCTTATTCTTCTCTACTAAGAGTTCAAAACAAATGTTCACTGAAGCCTTTTCAGTAAGTAAAAGCTAAAGGTGAACAAGTTGTTTTGAGCATTTTGTCAGTTACTCTATTTCAGAAGAGTCAAAATAGAAGCATGATGCATTTGAAGGCTTTGCAAACTCCTAAACCCCTGATGAGTCCCCTCATTCTGGAGGTGGGTATTTTAAGAAACTGGTGTGTCCTGTGGTGTGCTGGATGGCAGTGGGGTCTCTTCCAGTCCAGCACTCTCAACACAGGCCACGGTCTGTTCTCAGCCAGTAACAATCATACTGAGGACGAAGGACTCTCCATTTGATGCAGACACAATTGTAACAGAAATGTAAAACTTCTTAGCGATCAGATGGATCAATTGTTTGCTTTTCACTTTAAATAGGAAATTGTTTTCTAAAACTAAAATACTTGAATTGTCAGACAATATTATCTCAGCTGTATTAGTTTTTGAATGCTCCCATCAAGGAAGTGTAACAATCCATGAAATGTGAATAAATGAAAAGTAAACAAAATTCCAGTATGTGAGTTTCATGTTGCTCTTTGATGCACTCGGCATTAACACAGGTCAGACCTGAGGAAGCAGCAGCCACACAGAAGCCACAACTAGAAACCCTTGAACAACAGGAGGGTCGGCTTGGAGGTGAGAAAGAGACCGGTTTATTACCAGTCTCCTTGTTGGGGGATGAGAGTACTTTTAAACCATTCAGACCAAGGGTCTCTGTTGGATTAAAATCTTCACAAGTTGTAACGGGAACTGTTGACTCTTAATGCGCTAGTGTGCAAAGCACTGGCTAGGTGCTTTATGTGGATTATCTTGGTCAGTCCTCACAGCACAGCTTTGAGACATATATTTTTTAACTTTTCCTATGTTAGCATTTATTTGGTTTATAAGGGATATTTCCTAGTTTAAAAAAAAAAAATGCAGACTTTAAGTTATCCATCAAAGTGTTTTCCTGAACTATGAGCATCTAATAGAAACTAAATGACACTGAGAGAATGCTATCTGAAGAGTAAGATTGCGCCTAAACCGTACCTGCCCTATTTAGGTATTCAACTGCATGGCCGGGCTAGAACCCTGTTTCTCAGAAGTGGTCCTGGGACTAGTCCGACACATAGGAACTTCCTAGAAATGCAAAGCCGGCTTGGTATGGTGGCTCATGCCTGTAATCCTAACGCTTAGGGAGGCCAAGGCGGGTGGATCACTTGAGCCCAGGAGTTCGAGACCAGCCTATGCAACATAGCAAAAGCCCTGCTCTACAAAGAATACAGAAGGTGGCACACACCTGTAGTCCCAGCTACGTGGGTGGTTGAGGTGGGAGGATGGCTTGATTTCAAGAGGTCGAGGCTCCAGGGAGTAGTGATCATTGCCGCTGCACTCCAGCCCAGGTGACAAAGCAAGACCCTATCTCAAAAATAGAAACCTGGCTTGGCAAGGTAGCTCACACCTGTAATCACAGAACTTACCAGGAGGCTGAGGTGGGAGGACTGCTTGAGCCCAGGAGTTAGAGACCAGCCTGGGCAACACCGCAAGACCTTGTCTCTACAAAAAATGGTTCTTACTAGCTGGGGATGGTGTTGGGAGGATCGCTTCAGCCCCGGAGGTCCAGGCTGTAGTAAGCTTTGGTTGTGCCACTGTACAACCTGGGTGCAAGAGCAAGACCCCGTCTTGCCAAAAAAGCAAACCCATGAGCCCCAACTAGGCTACTGAATCAGCACCTCAGGTTGGAGTCCAGGTTTTAAAAATTGAGATAGAGTTCATATAAAACTCACCCCTTTGAAGTTGATGATCCAGTGCTTTTAGCGTACTCGGAAGGGTTGTGCAGCCGCCATCACTGATTCTGAAGTATTTTCCTCGTCACTCTTTGGGTTTGAACATTGGGTTAGAGCGTGCACTGGGTGATCCTGACGCATGCTCAAGTTTGACAACCACCGGCACACACACTCTCCTGATGACATTAAAGATGATAGCCCATGAAGTACCCCTCGGGCATGCTGGGAAAAAATGGCAGTAATCAGCATTGCCAGGAAATATGCCAGACTTTGAACATAACCTTGTCTCACTTCAACGTCGCCGCATCCCAGGAAGGCAAGTGGTGATTCTACTTGAGAAAACCTAGGACCAGGGTTGAGTGTGTCTGGGGTGGTGTGGCTTGTTGAGGTCCCAGCCCCACACTTCTCTAGCATGCCACGTTAAGTGAGACACACATGCCCACTAAGTTACTCAACTACGCTGGCTTCTGGAATCGGCTAAAATCCTTGGAGCAAAATTGTTTACTAAGAATAGCATAAAAGTCTGTTAAAAACCATGGTTATTTCAAAATGAGCAACCTAATTGTTTTATTAAAGTCAGATTCCAAAAGGAAAAGACCCCAGTCCACACAGAGAAGAGAAATCTCTCATTAACCTTAACTCATTAACTATACGGACAGGAAAGACATGATCCTTTCTTTATCCCCAGAAACAAGTATTTTCCCTTCCTCGTGTAAATTTCCCAGCTGTTCTCGTCATATTAACAATCAGGCACAAAGTATAGCATGGTACCATGGTCAGCATGTCTACTCACAATGAACAATGCTACTGTAGGGACTGAGTTACGTTCAAGATTCCCAAAGGTTTTGCTTTCTGGTTAACTTTTTTCCTTCTAAACTAGGACATGACAGTAGTTCCTAAAAGTTCATCTAAGTCAGGATAAAGGAACTGAAACAGCAAAACTAGCCTTCAGAGGCAATTAATAGGAATGAGGTTCCTGCAGACAGCTTCCAGCGTAGAGACTCCCCGAATATCTACTGAACATTTTTCAGGTGACTGCTTTAAAAGGACTTCCCACTGTTCAACCAGAAGGGGGCTGACCTGGATGGCAAGGAAGTCTTCACCTGCTAGTCTGCCTCCTTCCTGACCGCCATCTTGCATGGCCTACCTTTGGGGCGCTGGCTCCGAATATTCTCCTGGTCTGGTGTTTCTAAGGCAGTGACTGTTCCTGGAGGACTGTCGCTGGTGGGATGTCCCTTGCTATATCCCTGAATGCAGGTGTTCCTCCTACCCCTCTTTGCTCTGCCCCTCATTCTCCATTCTGTAACTTTCTGCACGGTCTCAGGCCTTACGCCCATCGCTGGTAACTCGCGAAGTCCATCTGACCATGGAAAGAAAAGGCTCATGGTGTGAAAGGCGACAGTGAGACTGCTTCTACCCACGAAGGCCGTCCAGTAGCAGGCGCGGGAGGCCTGCTGAGCTGCGAGGCTGCTGCAAAGACCTCATCTTCCGTTAGACCAGGCAGCTTACTGGGAGCCTGCAAACCCTGAACCTGGGACTCCTGGCCTCTATTCCATTGTTTTTCCACTTCTGCGAGGGCTAAGAGGGTCTCTGAAAAAGCTTGGGAAATTTTATAGTACAATTGAAAGAAAGGGTGTGCACTACACTTTGTGGCAGCTGAGCGCTACGCTGAAAATGCATCTTTCTTAGACACGAGAGTCTCACTGTTGCCCAGGCTGGAGTACAGAGGTACAAGCTCAGCTCACCGCAACCTCTGCCTCAGTCTCCCAAGTAGCTGGGACTACAGGTGCACACTACCATGCCTGGCTAAGTTTTCTATGTTTAATAGAGATAGGAGTTTCACCATGTTGGCCAGGCTGCTCTCAAACTCCTGACTCTAAGTGATCTGCCCACCTCGGCCTCCCGAATTGCTGGGATTACAGGCATGAGCTACCATGCCAGGCCTTGAAATGCATCTTGAAATGATTTAACTCTGCAAATATGGAATTATTTATGCAAAAATTATGCAAAAAAACCCAGTCACTGAGCGCCCACCTCCTCTCGGACTCCTCCCTGGCTCACGGCAGGCAAAGCCAGCACATGGTGATTGATCTCTGCCTCTAACACGCTCCAGTTCAAAAAAAAGTAGCTTGTGTGAAAGCTCCAAAGTTTAAGGAATCACTGGGGACAAATTAAGGTTCAATCATTCAATTATCGCTTTGCTGTAACATCTGTATTTACCCTGAAGTGCCCATCACAGAAAAAAGTAAAAATTCATTAGAGGAAGACACAGAAAAAAAGAATTTAATATTCAATTTGCAAAACAGCCTTTTTTTTTTTTTTTTTTGAGACGGAGTTTCGCTCTTGTTACCCAGGCTGGAGTGCAATGGCGCGATCTCGGCTCACCGCAACCTCCGCCTCCTGGGTTCAGGCAATTCTCCTGCCTCAGCCTCCTGAGTAGCTGGGATTACAGGCACGCGCCACCATGCCCAGCTAATTTTTTTTGTATTTTTAGTAGAGACGGGGTTTCACCATGTTGACCAGGATGGTCTCGATCTCTCGACCTCCTGATCCACCCGCCTCAGCCTCCCAAAGTGCTGGGATTACAGGCTTGAGCCACCGCGCCCGGCTTGCAAAACAGCCTTTAAAAGAAATATGAAATCATAAAGCAAAGCTAACAGCAACTAACAAATACCACCTAGAAAAGATTTCTACTGGACGTGGAAGATGGTTACTAAAGCAGCTGTCGGTAATGCTTATGGAACTGCCACTGGCAACCAGCATACCCATCTTAGGCCATCATGGCGTTTTTGCTAAAATACACTTTGTAGAAATCATTAGCCTCAAAGTAGTGAAGAATCTCAACAGGTTGTCTTGCAGATTTAATTACTCTCACACAAATCATTCCTTTGGAAACCATAAAGGACACCTTTTTTTTTTTTTTTTTTTTTTTTTTTGAGACAGAGTTTCGCTCTTGTTACCCAGGCTGGAGTGCAATGGCGCGATCTCGGCTCACCGCAACCTCCGCCTCCTGGGTTCAGGCAATTCTCCTGCCTCAGCCTCCCGAGTAGCTGGGATTACAGGCACGCGCCACCATGCCCAGCTAATTTTTTGCATTTTTAGTAGAGACGGGGTTTCACCATGTTGACCAGGATGGTCTCGATCTCTCGACCTCGTGATCCACCCGCCTCGGCCTCCCAAAGTGCTGGGATTACAGGCGTGAGCCACCGCGCCCGGCCAGGACACCTTTTTACACCTAAGCTGCCTGGCCTTCCACAGAGCAGGGACGAAAGGACCACAGCTGGGAGGAAGGCAAGCTCACCAGGGGCTCTGTGGGGTGGCAGGGTCACCGTTACTTCATCTGCTGAGCTCGAGGAAAAGGAACAACGAAAATGCCTACCTGCCTTGGGAACCGTAGGAAACTGTAAACTCCATCAGCAGCTGCCTCCACTCCTGAGGCTCCACCTGCGCGAGGAGCTCTGAACCCAGACCCGAGGCCACTTGGGTGTCCCAAGGAGTGCTCCAGGGCTCGGAGAAAGGCATCGGGGTCCTTTGGCCACCGAGGATCAAGCTAGCCAGTGAAAAAGAAAAAAGACCCAGGTGCCTGTCACCTGGCTCCCAGGGATCGTCTGCAAAGAGCCACATGGCACCCTGGCCACCTGCCGAAGAGCTGCTCTCCCTTGAAGGACTGTGGCTGCCCCTCCAGAGGCTGCTTCCATTCAAGCTCAAGGGCACCTGCATCTCCTTATCTCTTAGGGTCCTG